GCCCTCACACTGAGCCACGGCGTCAGCGCAGCTTTCCTAAACTGTGTTCCCCTCAGGGCATTCCACAGCTGCTTTAGGAACGGAGACTAAGGGGTTGAATACCTGGTCAAAGTCACGCACCTCCAGAGGGAAGGCTGTTTTCCAAGGCAGGATGGATAATGATGCTTCGGGTGGCCAGAGGCTCGCCCGCCCCACCCCCGCCCCACCCCAGCAGCGTAGCTTGAGAGCGCCAGCATCCACGCAAAGCTAGCCAGCCGGAAAGCAGGCTTCACCTGCTTCCAGGAACGCCGAGCCAGCCACTCACCAGGTGGTGAAAATGCCTTGTCAACGCGAAGAAAACAGAACCCAGAACAAGGCCAATGGCTTTTTACTCTGCATGACACCGTCACCACTCTCGGGACTACCCTTACTACTTTTTAAAATACCATTTTCTTTGAGGAGCGGGGCGTCTGGCACACACACACACATTTATTCCAGCACGAGGCAGAGGCAACGGGATTTCTGGAACTTCAAGGCCAGCCTGGCCTACAGAGAGAGTCCTAAGACTCTCTCTCCAGTGAGACCTAGTCTCAAAAAAAAGAAAAAAGAAAAAAAAAAAAAAAGCATTGAAATTCAGTCTCCCACTTCCCCCCCCCCACACACACACACACCCATACACAGGGTTCCTCTGCATAGCCCTGATTGTCATGGAACTCCCACTGTAGGCCAAGGTGGTCTTGAACTCAGATGTCCACCAGCCTCTGCTCCGGCGAGCAGGGATTAAAGGCCTGTGCCACCACACCTGGCTCTTTCTCCCGCTTTTTAAGGGAATTCTTTTATACTCAAAAATGACTGAATTTCAGCACTCGGGGAGGCAGGGGCAAGCGGTTCTCTGTGAGTTCGAGGCCAGCCTGGTATACAAAGCGAATCCAGGACAGCCAAGGCTACACAGAGAAAAAAGTGACACGACTGTTCTTTATAAGCAAAAAGCACACTAAACAAATGACGAAGTCCTTGCCTTCCGGACTTTACATGCGGGCGCCAGTTCCTATTTACCGAATGCGCCGTGGGCTCTAGCAGCTAATTAACGTCTTGGATTGATTTTTCAGAATCCAGAGCATCTTTTCCAGGGTGAGCGGGATGCGAGGAGGCCTCAGCGGGTTTGCTCTTCATTCCTGTAAAACCCCGTGAAGTTTAGGATCTAAAGGACCTGAGGTCGCAGCCCCGGTGTTCAAATGAACCTGACCACTGAGATGGAGATGTGGGAGGGGGGCGGGGCCGACACGCGAGGCCGACCTCAGTTGAATACAGTCCCCGGGGGGGGGGGGGGGGGGGGGGGGGG